TTGATTTATTTAATTAATTTGCTAATTTGTTTAGAAAAAAATAAAATAATTTAATTAATTCAATATAAAAAATAAAAAAATTATTTAGTTTCGGTTCTTATTCGGTTCTTCGGTTCTTGGTCTAGACCCGAGACCCGACCCAAACCCATCGGTTCTCGATTCGGGTACCCGTTCGGGTATTTAATTTATGAAGAACCGCTTGGTTCGGTTCGGATTCGGTTCGGTCCGGTTCGGTTCGGGACTTTTGGACACCCCTAAAAGCTATCGCAGTTTAAGCGAAGAAGATACATACTTTACTGTGTTAGTTTTGGTTCAATGCTTAATGAAAAAAGTCATGCCTACAATTCCTATTGCTCAATTCAATGCATTATGGAAATAATTACTTGTATTCTCCAGAAATGATCATTGACTATAATACATGGAACTCCGTCCATAGGATGGAGACATTTCTCCATGTCTCCGTCCACTGGACGGAGTTATGGAAATAATTACTTGTATTCTCCAGAAATGATCATTGACTATAAGACTTGGAACTTTGTCCACTGGATGAAGACATTTCTTCATGTCTCCGTCCACTTCATGACTCCGTCTACTGGACGGAGACATGGAGAAATGTCTCCGTGGATGAAGACATTTCTTCATGTCTCCGTCCACTTCATGACTCCGTCTACTGGACGGAGACATGGAGAAATGTCTCCATCCAGTGGACGGAGACATGGAACTCCGTCCACTGGACAGAGACATGTATTGCAGCACATTTAACTTCAGCATTTGCTATTTACCTTGGGCTCTTTTGGACTTCTCTTTCTGTTGTTATGCTTGAGCCTCCTGCTGAATCCGTAGCCTGGGTTCAAGGGGCATCTAAAGTTAAGTGTATGGCCCTTCCAGTAAGATCAGTTGTTAGATAATTTTTAATCCATCTTCCATGCATTATTGTGGTATATGGCTTCAATCAGCTTTAATTACATCTTTAGTTTTCAGTTTTCATTTTATAAACTTGGGTTAAAGTTTGGACTAATGCATATTTCTCGTGACATGCGTCCAAGATTCCAGCATCACAAGAAAGCTGGTGCTATGAATGCACTTGTAAATGATGAACTGATGATTTTGATATACACTTATACTAACATTGCCTTTATCAGTTATAACCACCAATCCATGTCTACCTTTCCCTGGCGCCAACCCCAAACCCCACCAAATGGCAAAAAAAAAAAAAAAAATTAAAAATTAAAAATGGAAAAGAGAAAAATGCATTGTTCCTAGATAATATGTCATTGTTTTGTCATTGTTTTTCGTTTGAGTTGCATTTTATTGATAAGTCTTAAACGATATTGGTAGCAATATAAAAAAAATGACTTAAAAAAAAACACATCATTGTTATTGGTATTTAAAAAAAAAATCGTGTGTTGGCTACCAATAAAGATTTAATGGTGGGCATTTATTGCATAATCAAATTAAATGAGTCCATTAAATGGATTTATAAAATCTTCGCAATGTTGTCTATTCCTACTTAGAATATGTAGACATCGATGGATTTTTATGTTCTTTTGTAATCTTAGTTACTTTGTTTTGAATATCATTTTGCGGTTTCAATTTGTATTATTTTCCTTTTAACATTTTTAAGGTGAAATAAATATATATAGATTATTGGTGACTGTGGTGTGAAAGTCTAGATGTTGGTCTTTTCATTTACTCGAGCATGTGAGATTGTGATTCTGTACAGTATTTCTTCAAGTTTTTTACCCACTTAAGATCTTGTTAGCATTTTATTGTTTATTGTTGGGTAGGAATTTGAAAAAATCCCCCTGAGTTGGGTAACTGTAGCTTTCAATTTTTGTTGTTTTCCTTTTCAAAAGTTTTAAGATAAAATAAACTATAGATAAATGGTGGGTGACGAAGGTGTAAAAGTTTAAATGCTGATCTTTCCATTTACCTGGGCATGTGGGGATTGTGATTTTGTACAGTGTTTGTTCAAGTATTTTTATCAGTTTAAAGTTTCGTTTGCATTTTGTTGTTTACTGTCTTACATGAATTTGAAAAAAAAAATCCTGCGTTGGGTAATTGTGGAGAACAAGTGAGATGAAAATTTTAGGGATGATGATATATCCATCCAATCCTTCTCTTATTTTCTTAGTTACTTGTGATATTTGGTTGCCCAGTTGAAATAAGTATGAAATAAGACTTTATTGATTTAGCTTTGTTCACGTGATAATTGGGGAAGGTTCGTTACCAAATGTTTATTGATGACCATAAGATTGTGGGGGTTGAAAATTGTTGAAATGTAAACTCTTTCATATGCATGCAAAGATATCTATTCTTTTCGTTTTGATAGATGTTAGATATTCAAAGTTTCACAAGGTTTGATCAAAGACTTTAGAAGTCTTTTCTTTTTGGAAGGTTTTTCACTATGATACCAGCCTTGAAGTTAGGCTTGATGATAAAGTATTGGAATTTAATTTTGATATTTTTCTCAACTTCCATATCTATTGCTTGAGATTTCAATGTTGCAGTTATAAATCCTCGACATTGTACGTTAAGGTTTCACTTTTATATGCTGAATAGTGGATATCTTTAGAACTTTCTGCAAATTTTTGGAATTTGTCAGAATATTGACTTTTTCCTTAAACTCTTTTATAGGAAAATACTATAGTGCTGCAATTTAATCTACATATTTTCGTGTGCACAGTTTTAGAGTTAGGACCTATAATTCCTTAAGTATGTAGTTTCTCTTAGGAACATCATGCTCATTTCTGATTTCCCATTCTTCTAACTGATGGGCTTGGTTAATGGAAATATCCTTTTTTTTACTTTTTTCTATAGCTTCCATATCCTAATTGTCGGGGTTGGTACATTTTGGTTTCCATTGAAGTAAGCAGTAAACCTTGGGTCATTTTCTGCTGTAGTATGCATTTATGATATCACAAAACGGCCATTGTATTTCTTTCTCATGGTTTTGTTGGTTAAACTCCCGAGTCGTTTTGTATCGCCTTAAATATATAGACAGCATGACAACTATTTTTTAGGCTTGAAACTTCACTCTATCAAACACGTTTCTATAATGTAATTTTCCCAGTAATATTTTTCAAATTTATGCATTATTTCTCTGGAGGAGATAATCTGTATAGTGTGTATAGATGATAACAATCATTGTTCTTACTACTTAGATTTATTGGACTTGTAACTGTGCTCTCGATGAAGTTGCTTTAAGAAGTGGGTAAAAATGTACTATCTAATGTAATCTGACTATATGCTTTGTGACATTAATTGGCTTCTTCGTTATGTTGAATGTTATTATGCCAACTATCATTTAACCTACGATTAAGATAATAGTGAGTTATATTAGGTTACTCTTTTGGTATGGTTAGATAAACTGATTGTGTTATGGCATGTAATTTAGTTAAGGATTAGGATTATCGTTGAAAGCGAGTATGCATCTATAATGTTGTATCAAATGGGAGAAAAAAATAACTCCTTCGTACTTCATCAGATGAAAGAAACCATTAACCAATATCAATTCCAAAATAAAATCATTTCTATCTTGTTGACAATAATCAACTAACGTGCAACTCACGTTCTATAAATAGGAAAACAACTAAAGATATAGTATAAAATAATAGAAATTGTCCTGAGAGGTCATATAATATCCATTTAAATGCCGACACAAAATGGATCACGTTGGGGATGCCAAATGCCTCTCCACGTGCAACTAAATATGCCAATTTGAAACTACTTTACTATTGATCCCACTATGTTCAAGTCAAAATTTAACTTGAATTTCGAATAAAAAAATCATGATTTGTTGAAAAATATATGTCCGATTTGATTCATGGTTTATTCTTAGTAGTGCCACATTAAATGTACCAACCATAAAAATAATTTTCAAGAGCATAAAAATATAGTACTATAATATGTGGAACAGGACAAGCATGTTCTACATAATTGTGGGACAAAGGTATGAGTGGACTCTATTCCATGATGTTAAGGAAACATTACCTTAACTT